ATCTGGGAATAGATCTACCTCAAGATCCAGCTATATCACTCTTGGACATACTCCCAAAGAACTCTATATCCTGCTACAGAGACACTTGCTCCACTGAGTTCATTGCTGCTCTATTCATAATAGCCAGAAATTGGAAACAGATGAGATGCCTATCAAAAAAAGAATGGATAAAGAAAATGTGCTACATTTACACACTCAGCTGTTTAAAAAAAAAAAAAAACAAAAAAAAAAAACAAAAAAAAAACAACCCGAAATCCACAAATAGATGAATGAAGCTAGGAAAAAGTGCCCTGAGTGACTTAACCCAGATCCAAAAAGACAAATGTGACATGACTTATAGGTAGATGCTAAATCTTCAATAAGCAGGCCACAATCCATATACCTACAGAGGTTAAGTATATAGAAAGGGACTAGTGGTGAGGGTTAGATTTCTCTAGGAAGGCAAAATAGAATACCTAGTTATAGATCAATGAGGATTAGAGTGCCTGGAATGGAAGAAACAAACAGGGAAGGGGAGCCAAGAGGAGGGTGAGGGAGGGATTATGGGGAAAGACAGCTAAAACTAAGGACTATTTGTGGGGTTGTATGGATACCTAAGACTTTAGAAGTTTCCTAAAATAAATAAATAAATAAATGTATATATATATATATATATATATATACATATATATGTAAATATATATACACACATATGAACGTGATCTAAGTGGAATCTCCAAATAATAGGGAGACAGACACCTCTTATCACCAAATGAACCCTCCAGTTCTGAAAATGGGTTGTATCTAACCTAGTTGTTGGCAAAGGGAACCCATGGAAACCCCCAAACAAACCAGGCTATGGCCAAGGCTCTCCAAAAACCAACAGAAAGGCCCTATTGCTGAAGACAACACCTACACAACTCACTGAATGTGGAGAAGTCAAGCTGTTTTCTACCTAAAGCCTTCACCCCTCCTGGCCAATGTTCATGGCACTAAAGCTACTCTGTATGCTATCACAGAAAAAAAGCTAAACATCAACCCAGATGCGAATCCTTCGACCTACCATGGTGACCTGTTTGCAAGATGAGCTGTTACAATAGTGGCATAAGGCTTGTGGGAGTAAGCAACCGATATCTGATTTGAGTTGAGGCCCAAATCATAAGATACAATCCATACCCAACACTGCTCAAGTGGCCAACGATCTGAGAGCAGATGCACCAGGAACCTAGGAGAAAACTAAGTACTACCGTTTTTCTAAAGGACCATAGAAATAAAATTTCTCTAACAGCATCCTGCTATGCCCATAGGTCAGGGCCTTGCTCAGCCATCATCAGAGAAGCTTCCTCCTGCAGTAGACCGAGATCCACAACTGGACAGTGCGGAGACAGCGAGAGACTTTGCAACACTCAGTGCTATTTGTCTGCATTAAATACCTCCCCTGGAGGCGCAGTGAACCCTTCGGAAGAGGAGGTGGAAAATTCTAAGAGTCAGAGGGGATAGAAGACACAAAGATAAAAAAGGGCTTCTAAGCACAGTATGCCTGAAGCACATAGGAATTCTCAGAGACTGAGGCAGCAGGCTCAGGGCCTGTGTGGGTCTGCACAGATGGGGTCCCAGCACTGACATGGAAAGTGGACAGAAGCCCACACCCTCAACTCAGAAGCTATCTCCAGCTAGTAAGTTTTTGCAAAACAAAAATTAATTTTCTCCGGTGGAGTCTCACAGAGTATACAAACCCATTCTTGAGGCCAGACTCCATGTAATAAGTAAATGGCCAACACACACCAAACTCAATGGCATTTTTAGACGTACTTTGTAACATAATGCCTTTTCAAGTTTTTGTTTTGTTTTTACCTTATAGGTCCTTTAAGTATATATTATGGCTTCTAGTTTTGTGATTTTACAGGATTTCTGTGTGAGCAAATGTGTGTGTCACTGTGTCTACATGTTTCTTAAGATTTCTTTTTGACTTTTTTTTTTCTTCTGGGTATTTGTTTTTGTCCTATTCTGCTTGTCCATTTTTATTCTATTTTATTTTATTTATTATTATTATTTTAGATGTTTGTTTGTAATTAAGTGAGAAAAAGAAAAAGAGTGTGGTGAAGTGAGGAGGATCTCAGAAGAATTGGGGGGCAGATTTAAGAATATTTCATATGAAAAAAATCTATTTTCAATTAAAAAAAAGTAAAGTAAAAAAAAAAAACCTCAAAAACAAGAAGTGGAGAATGACTGAGGAAGCTACTGCATGTCAGCTCAGCCTCTATGTGTACACGCACACACATGCACACACACAACCATGAACACACACATTAAAAAAAATACTCAGAGGAAGCAAAGCTTGGGCAGAAAAGAGCTAAAGACTGAACTCTGTGACATAGGCTCCAAGTCACTGTGCTGCTCTTTGCTTATTAGACCATATGAAGGATGTCTTGTTTCTTGTAGAGTGGACACAAGGCTGACTGTTTCTCTCAGAGGGTAGGCAGTCAGAGGGTAGGCATGTTGGATGAACTTGGATCAGTTTCGGGAGTATCTTCTCACAGGACCAATAAGGACGATGGGTATGAGGGGCCTTGTCCCACTCAGGCATCCAGGAAGCCAGTCCTGGAACTGGGCTGACATTCACGTCCTCCCAGCCTATGTCTATCATTCTGTCCTAGACTGTATGAACAAGTCACACAAACATTCCTTTGGTATTGCGTTCTTCTCTTTGAGATCTCATTGTACTTGACCTCATATTATTCACCTCTTCAATCTCCTTGGCTAAAGATGGAAAAAAAATATTTTTATCTATTTATTTATTTGTTTAAGATGTGGCATTTTTCAAATGACTGTGCTTTGCCTGAGTACCAGAGTCTCCTCCTCCCAATCCCAGAAAACCAGGGGAAGTGACAAAGAGGCACTTAAAAGCTTTTGTAGATGTCACAATGCTAAAAAGAAAACAGATCAATAAAGGGTCCCACGGTCCCTATTGGGTCTCTTGAATGGGTCACTTTAACGCACCCTGGAAGCAGTGATCTTGGTACGAATAAATCTTCTGGGACTCTTTCCACACAGAAAGCAGTTAGTAAATTGTTCTTACCCCCTGAGCTTGGGACAGTGCGGGCACGAACATTTCCTTAGTATTTAATGACTCCTTAACTCCCTCCAACTGCCGCAGCTGCTGCAAGGCAGACTTAAGTAGAGATTAGATACAGGATACGCACCTGGCCGGCCATAAATGCTTAGCTGTCAGTAAAGGTTAACAGGCCCAGTTCTCTTTTTTTCCCTCAGACCCAGAATGCGGAAACATGAAAGAGAGCTGTAATTATTTATAAACAATAAAAAAAAAAAATTCTGTGTGGAGCTTGCAGTGAATGGATGGGTTTACCTGCCCACTTCAAGTGGAGAAGGCAGCTTTTGCTGTTAATTGTGAGTAGAATTGTCTCCACTTCCCCCTCCTTCCTCTTCCTTGTTTTCCCCCCTTCCTCCTGCTCCTCCAGGCCCTCCTACCACCTGGTCTGGCTGTTAAACTATAGGTTTGTTTCCACCAGAGTGATCTGGAGATCTGCGGCGGGTATGTTGTCTGCCCGGTGATGATTCTCGCCGTGAGGATCCAGACGGGCCTTCCTCTGGTTCTGATGCATCTGCTTCTACCTGGGCCCTTCTCCCACTGGTTTCCTGACCCAGCGACCATCTCGAAGTTGAAGAAGTACTGCTCAATCAGTTTAGTCGATGAGAGAGCTGGAGGAGTTGCACTGAGTCCTCTCCTGAGCCTGCGACCCAGGACTGATCACAACCTCCATTCTGACCAGTGCGCTGCCAGCTGCTAAGTTTCAGTGTGGTCTTTTGAGAGCACTTCCTGGTTTTTAAAGCTGCTCAAAGACTCAGCAGATCATTCGAATATGCCCACCCTCAACCGCACCCCTACAAACTCTAACACACTACACTCCCGTGGCTGGTACATATAAACACAGGCCCTTCTTAATCAGCTAATTTCTCTGATTCTGCAGAGTACAGAGTGAGAGACCAAAGGATAAAGTCGTTAAAACCTAGAGTAGGTGCGGTAAAAAGTTAGTAATGCCCTGAGGGGAGAGCTACCTCACTGCATTCTTTCCCCACCCACTAGAGATACGGTTGCTAGGAAACTGGACCCTCCCTAGGGGGAGGGACACCTGGTCATGGTCAATGGTCTGGGAACCTTTCTATAGCCAATCGATTCAAAATGTAGCATCTTGACCAATAGATGCTTGCCAGGCAGGAATTGCCCCTGCCTTGGGTATGCTGGGAGGAACCAGAATCTATAAATCACCCAACTAACCTGCGGACGCGCGCTCAGCTCGCACCGCTTTGGCGGTGGGCCTGTGTAGGCCCAAGCTGCATCTTGTAATTTACAATAAAAAGACCCTCATGTGTTTTGCAACGGAGTCGTTTCCTGTAGATCTTTTGGGGGCTCGCGAACTGGGTATAACAAGAGGCACTCAGGAACTTCAAATTGAAACCTGTCATATTACTATCAATTCTACTCTCTGGTTCTAAAACGTTTTCAATCTTTCAACTATGAGAGCTCATGATTTTACGTGGTAAAACGCTTGTCTCTGAATTGGGACAACCAGAAGCCACCATGAAAACATGTTCTATCAACCACTGCAGTGACTGCTACATTAAAGAGAAGCACATGAAGTGTACGCATTAGTCTACAGGTAAGAAAAGCTCAGATAGTGAGCGCATGCGTTAGTTATTCTCCCTTGAAACTCGATAATAAACTCCACAGCTCCTTAAAGTTATGCAGAGGGGTAACTTCCCAGAAGATTAAATCTTAATGAGACTGTGGTTACTGTAGAAGTTACTGATTTCATTTTTTTAAAGATTGATTTTGTCAGGCAAATCATTGGTGGTGCCCTGCCTTTAATCCCAGCACTCAGTGGCAGAGGCAGGCAAATCTCTTAGTCAGAGGTCTACACAGTGAGTTCCAAAACAGTCAGGGGTACAGAGAGAAGCCCTGTCTCAAAAAACAACGACAGCGAAACTAAACTAAAGATTGATTTCGTTTTTAATTATGTATTGGTCAAGTGAATACTCAGATGCCCCTGGAACGGAAGTTACAGAAGGTTGGGAGGGACCATGTGGTGTTGGGAACCTAACCCAGGTCTTCTGCAGGAGCAGCAAGCGCTCTTAACCACTGAGCCATCTCCCCAGATCCCTGTACAAGGTCTTTAAAAGCGTGAGGTCTGTTCAGTTCATCTTGCAAAACTGGTAGAATAAGACTCATGGTGTCACTAGGAAGAAAGGAAAGAAGAGGAACCCAGGAAACTGGCTTTGGCGTTTCCGGCAACATCTTCAGCTGTTACGCTTCGGCAGTGTAGCCAGCATATGGACACTGTTTTGTTGTTGTTGCAGTATTTTATTTTATTTTATGTGTATGGGAGCTTTGCCTGAGTGTCCGTCTGGCATCACACATGTGTCTGATGTCCTCGGAGACCAGCAGAGGGTGTAGGATCCTGTAGCTGGCGTTTGCCATTTTATGGGTTCTTCTTTTGTTCACTCTTCTCCACCATTTTTCTTCTTCCCTTTCAACGCCCTAACACTAGATAAGAGAGAAAAAAGGATGGAGAGGAAAAGGACCAATGTTATTGTTGGACTACTTCCTGCTGGTTAGAGGTGTTGAGCTCCTTGGGACAAATTTGATCTTCACTGTCAGGATAATTAATTTCTCCTCCCCATCCCCCCCTCTGCAGGTTCTCACTGTGTAACCTTAGGTGTCCTGGACTCCCTTTGCAGACCAGGCTGGCCTCGAACTCACAGAGATATACCTGCCTCTGTCTTGTCAAGTGCTTACAGGCTAATTTCTCCTTATTATTGTTTCTTCTTGTGCAAGACTACTTACCAAACTTCAACTAACAGCAACCAGCGGCCGGCCAGAAACCCATCTTTCAGGGTTCTAGCATTTATATATCCTCCAAAGTCCCCAGAATTCAAAGCATCACAAAATCACAGAAACTATCTGCAGCTGGCAAAATCATGCCCCCCACACCAGAGCATGGGGCAAATGACAGCTGCTACAAAGCAGCTCCATATCCCCACACCTGGAATTAAAATAAAAACATATTATTATACTATTTATGTGTTTTTTAAAGAAGCCAAAATCTTGGCTACAGGATCCCCTGGGTCTAGAGTTACAGGTGGCTGTGAGCTGACACATGGGTGTTCGGAATCAAACCTCAGTCCTCTGGAAGAGTAGCTAATGCTCTTAACTGCTGAGCCATCTCTCCAGCCCCTCGACATTCTTTTATTTTATTTTTTAATGGAACAATGTAATTAGATAAAATTTCTAATCAGCTCAGTTTTTTCTTCTTACAGTGTGTAACACTCCGCCAGCATAATGACTGCATTAGCAGTAGTGAACCACTCTTGAAAATCCCTATTTAGTAAAACCACATTAAGCAAAATACAGAGGGTATGATGAGCACCCTGATTTAATTTTTACACAAGATTAACATATTGAGCTATCATCTCTAATTTTAAAATCGTGTTCTCTCTATTTAAGACCTGTAAAATAATACTCAGGTAATTGGATATGCTTTATAAGATGCTTCTAGCTTCGTTTGCTCTTTGATTTGGGCAAGCAATGGGTCCTAAATGATTCTCTGGTTCACATTTTAAAACACAAAGCCCAACTCTAGAGGAAATTATAGTTCTTCTGTCTCTCTCTCTCTCTCTCCTTTCCTTCTTCTCTCCCTCCCTCTTTTTCTCTCTCCCTTCCTCTTAAAAAGTTGGAGCAATGGCACACTGTATCTCTTTTTCCCCTCTACTTCCCCACTATTTGCATTTCCTCCTTGGTATCTACACTTCCCAGTGAAGTTGTATTGAGGAGAAACAGAGGGACCAGCCTCCCATCCCCGGAAGGTGGTGAGCACCAGAGGGGGCAAACATGAATTGCCTGCCTGTAACGCCTCTGTACCCTTAAGAATACTCCAGTTACAGTGGTTCTCAATCAGTGGGGAGCAACCCCACGAGGGTCACATATCAGATATTTACATTACAACTTATTAGACTGGCAAAATTACAGTTGTGAAGTAGCAAAATAATTTTATGATTGCGAGGGTCACCACGACGTAAGGAATTTGTATTAAAGGCTGCAGCATTAGGAAGGATGAGAACCACGGCTCCAGTAAGTCCCTGGGTGCTGCTGAGAAACACATTCTTCTGTGGACTGTACTCACCATTTACTGGTGGCTCCAATGAGCCTGCAGGGAACCTGATAACCTTTTCTAATGGAGCTGCCCAGGGAGATCTGAAAGAAAAAAAAAAAAAGGCCAATGACTGACAGGTTAGAGTGACAATCTGCACTTGACTGCCAGCATTCAGAGGCTACACAAACACACAAAGATCTTCATGACAGACAAAATTCAGGGCTTCCCCAAATCCCTGGTTTTGAGCACCAGGTCACACTCTTCATATTACCTGACACCTTGCAGCTAACCCCTCTGCTCTTCGGATCCTTCCTCTGAGCAAACTCTTCCTGGTTTTGTATCCAGGTGCAGTCTCTTTGTGTGGTAGGAGTCCTTCATCCAGATGCAAATGCTTTCTGCAAGACCAAAATTCTTTTGCTCTGGGACTACAGAGGCCAGCCTCTAGAAATATTTGCATGTTGGCTGGTAAAACAGGCCAAGCCTTGCTGTAGAAATGAAGCAACAAAGAGATCATTACAAAATCAAATCAATAAACAAATGCGACACAAATGTACTCTATTAACTGTCTATGGTTTTTGGTTTTTTTTTTTAAACAGACAGAGATAGGAATTTACAATGCAGGAAGTGTATCTAAAAAAAAAAAAAGGTTCAAAATGAAAGTGAAGAAGAAGAAGAATCTTAATGAATTACAACCAGCTTGATAATTACAGTCTCCATGATTGCAGCCCAGCAGAAAGCCGGCTTGATGAAGTCACCTCCTGATGATCTGTGACAGTAAATGACTGTTCCAAGATACGAATTCAGTGAAGGTTGCAGATAAAGATGCACTTATGTAGTAGCAGTTTGGTTATACGGAATCTGCGAGTGCGCTGCTAGTTTTATGTAAACTTGACACGAGCTAAAGTCATTTAGGAAGAGAGAACCTCAATTGAGAAGTTGTCCCCATCAGCTTCATCTATGGTCAAACCTGCAGTACATTTTCCTGATTGATGGTTGATAGGGGAGGTCCCAGCCCATTGTGGGTGGTGCCACCCCTAGGCTGGTGGTCCTGGGTGCTATAAGAAAGCAGCCTAAGCAAGCCAGTAAGCATCATTCCAGTTGTGGCCTCAACATCAGTTCCTGCCTCCAGGTTCCTGCCCTGCTTGAATTCAGGCCTCAATTTCCCTTTAGTTGTAGACTGTTACCTGGAAGTATAGTATAAGACAAAATAAACCCTTTCCTTCCCAACTTGGTTTTGGTTGTGGTGTTGCATCACAGAGATAGAAAACCTAACTGAGACAGCAAGGTAATATTAGGAAAAAAACAAAAACAAAAAAACCTCCAAGCAAATTTTTAAAGTACTTGTTTAAACAACACATGAAAATATTTTCATGAACCAGAGGATGATGGTGTGTGGTATTTTCCACTACATTATGAATTCAAAGGGAATCTGTACTGCAGAGCAAAACCTTGTCTCAAAAAAGGAAGACATGGAGGAAGGGAGAGAGGGAAAGAAAAAGGGAGGGAAGAAAAACAAGAGCTAGTGAGATGGCTCAGTTAATAAAGTGCTGGCTATACAAGCATGAAGGCCTGAGTTTAGATCCCTAGCACCCTTGTAAAACCTGGGCATGGTGGCCTGTAATCCCAGAAACAAAGACAGGAGCAGCCCTGGGGCTCACTGACCAGCTAGCCGAAACGAACAGCTCCAGATACAGTGAGAGGCCGTGTCTCAGAAAGTAAGGCAGAAAGGGCTAGAAGAAGGCACCAAAATCAACTACTAACCAGTCCACACACACAGGTGTACACCCACATATCCCCCCCCACAAACATGTGTACACATGTAAGCACACACACAAAATAAAAATGTAAACGATTAACAAAAAGAATGAAGTTTCTCATGAATATTTTGAATTTAAAAATCCTATATTACCTGTACTTTGAATCATTCTCTTTAAGTAAAAAAAAAAAAAAAAAAAATTTAGTGATGTAGAGAAAGCAAGATACTGAGAGCCAGTGATAGAAATCAGTGGGAAGGTAATCAAAAGGGACTAGCAGCAAAATCATGAGCAACTCGAGGCAAGAATGGCAAGCACGTGGCCACTGAGGATGCAAAGTTGGGTACTCCCGATGTCATCTCGTCTTGGTTCCCAAGGTTGATCTTGACGTCCATCTTTTCCCCAGACAGGTAGAGTTCTCCATGTATGTTTAGAATAGTCCTTGACAGCCACTCCTATGCACAGACTACACGTAGTTTAAAGATGACCAGGAGATATCTCTTGCAGGATACAAGTCAGGTTGACCTTTAAACCTTAGAAGATGCTGCTGCTGCATTGTATTCTCTTGTTTTCAGGCATCAGAGATGCCGCTGCTCAAGGAGGATATTAAAATTGATAGTATTGGATTATATCTGTCTCTTCAAGTTTCCTAAAGCAAGGGACATCTTCCTGACAGACCTGTCCCCAACCAAGTACCTGATCTTTGACCTTTGAAAAACTGACCAGCCAGAGCTTTAAGTTGTGCAGTCCAAGGAGACCCTATTTGGTATCAGTTCCTGCAATAATCACATTGATCTTTCCTCCTCTCTGTTCTGTCTTCCCTTCCTACCTTTCAGAATCAGAAGTGGAGGCCCTATTCACGTCTAACTGTAACTGTAAAACTTTCATCACCAAGGACTTGAAAGGTTTGGTTTATCTTAATGAAAAGAGAAAGAAAGAAAGAAAGAAAGAAAGAAAGAAAGAAAGAAAGAAAGA